CTCCTGCCTCCGCCTCCCAAGTAGCTGGGACCACAGGTGCCCGCCACAATGCCTGGCTATTTTTTGGTTGCAGCCGTCATTGTTGTTTGGCAGGCCCGGGCTGGATTCGAACCTGTCAGCTCAGGTGTATGTGGCTGGTGCCTTAGCCACTTGAGCCACAGGTGCTGAGCCCTGGCAATGTTTTTGTTGCAATTGTCATTGTTGTTTAGCTGGCCTGGGCTGGGTTTGAACCTACCAGCCTGGGTATATGTGGCTGGTGCCCTACCCACTGAGCTACGGGCACCTCCTGTTTACTTTTTTATTACAAAGTAAAATGCCATATGTGGCTTGTGTTATAATGGACATAGTTGATTATAATCTGTTTGAGCCTGATCCTCCTCTCCACAGTGGAGGTATAGTTATACTTCCCATCCTATATTGCTAGTACATTTCTTAATGTTTCTAGTACCATAGGAGAATAAGGTGTTAATACTATTGTCTCCCCTTTGTTTTCCAAAGATTATGAGGTTTGGGTTTTTTTGGCTTAGCTGCAATTATACTGCTTGGAGAGGCCCAGGGTATTTCTGAATTGGTGCTTCCTCAGAGACCAAACCCAGGTTTCTGCACCTGGAAATGAACCTGGATCACAGCCAGCAGCTGGTCCAGAAGCTGTGGGGACCAGGCAGGATACTTGCCCTTAAAGCATGAAGCTTTACCTTCAGAGGGAGGCCTGTCCTGTTTCCTGCTGGTTTTGGCAATACCAGTGATGATTCTGAGGGTCCAGCGTGTGCCACTCACGTTACCAACACTATCTCTGGCTTTCACAGTGCTTTGTCACTAGCCCCCTTTTTAGGTGAAGAAATTAGAAATTCAGAAATGCTGCATAATCTGCTCGATGGCATGCAGGTAGTAAGTGGATGGGCTGTGCGTCAAACTGGGGTTTCTGTGATTGAAACCCAAGGCTTTTAAACATCATTACACCACGCTGTGCCTACAGATTGCCCACTTGCTGGGCACTGCAGAAAGGTGTGTGGAAAATGACTGGGATTTCTCTGTTGGCCACTCCCCGGGGTTTTGTCCAACTACAATACAGAAGAGAGAGTTTAGGAAGGAATTGGGGGATAAAAAGGATGGAAAGTCCTCAGAAAGCATTTAGGCCAGTGGCTGTCAATCCTGTGTCCCACCCCCAGACTCCACTGTAACTGGTCTGGAGGGCAGCCTGGAGTTTTTTACAAGGTCCACAGATGGTGCCAGGGTGCTCCAGGGTGAGGCTGGCCACTTCAGTCTCCAGATGAGGAGGCTGGGGCCCAGACGACACCAGCTGAGCCTCTGCCACCAGCCAGCTACATGAGCGGGATTACCCATTCCTCATCATACAATAAGGCTACGAAGGACTGTTCAGATCCAGGGCCAGTGACTCTGCTTATTGCCAAGGTTCACACAATAAAGGCGAATTCAATTTCCCCTTGGCTACCCTGAAAATCCCATTTTCTGGGGCAGCCCATTGAAATGTCATTTTCTTTCTGCAGCACAGGGTCGCATCAGTCAGATGGGGATAGTTCTGCTTACTCCTGAGGATGCCATTGTGAGGACTGTGCTCAGCGCCAGGAGAACCTGCTTTGCCAGTGCTAGTCAAGTGTTCGGTACTCCCGTTACTACATCACTCCCCAAGGATTTAGGGCAACTGAGGACTAGTCGCCTCTGGGGAAATGGAGGGCAGGGCTGAGCACGTGGTGTGGTCCTGGCTGAATCTTATCTTTGGACTAGGAAGGGTTCTAATAGCAGTGACTGACGGTGTTACAGATAAAGGAAGTCAGGAGGAAACCACAAGCGTCTGACTTACTGAAGGCGACATCAGATCGCTCTTGCTTACACTCTTGGCTCAGGCTGCTCCATCTTCCTGGCCACTTTTCATGTCTTCAGAGAAGCCCAGCTCTCCCTACCTCAGCCTTCCCTGCAGCCTGCAGCACTTAGGGCAGTGGTTCTCAACCTCCCTAATGCCACGACCCTTTAATACAGTTTCGCATGTTGTGGTGACCCACAACCATAAAATTATTTTTGTTGCTTCATAACTGTAATTTTGCTACTGTTATGAATCGTAATGTAAATATCTGATATGCAGGATGGTCTCAGGTGACCCCTGTGAAAGGGTCGTTTGACCCCCAAAGGGGTTGCGACCCATAGGTTGAGAACTGCTGACTTAGGGGAACCTTGTGTATGTGCTGTGCCCATGAAGATGGCTGGGCTGCCAACAGCCCTGTTTCTCGGATGGGGAGGGTAAGGCACAGAGAAGTGGGGATTCGCTGGGGGGCAAACTGTTGAAAGAGAGGCGTGGCCCCTGGGAGATGTCAGCGTCCTTGTTCCTGACCTGTGAGTATGTTACCACATACACAAAAGGGACTTTGCCAGTGTGACTAAGGGCAAGGATCTTGAGATGGGGGTTGTCCTAGACAGCCCGGTGTGAGCACATGGAGTCAATGTCATCACAGGGGCTTCTAAGCCAAAGACGGGGGCAAGAGAGTCAGACTCAGAACAGGAGGTGTGATGATGGAAGCAGAGGTGTGTGTGAGGGTGAGAGAAACAGATCGGAGGATGCTACACTTTCGGCTTCAAAGATGGGGGAAAAGGCTTTGAGTCAAGCATGCGAACATCCTGTAGAAGCCTGGAAAGGTGCGGAAATGAATTCTCCCCTGGGGTGTCCAGAGGAAACGCAGCCCACCTGCACTGTGCTGGTAGCACAAGAAGGCTCATTTTAGTCTTCTGACCTCCAGAACTTGAAGAGAATAAATTTGTGTTGTTTTAAGCCACTAAGTGTATGGTGGCTAAGATAGTAGGAGAGCCTGGAGTTGGATCTCCTCTGTACCTCCGGCAGATAGCTGGGACGGCTCACAGGACAGGGGAGGGATGGGAAGCCTGCTGCTGAGGAGAACACCCCTTTCTTTCTGGTGTACCAGAAGGGGGCTGGGCTCTATTTCTGGCTTAGCTACTGACTCACCACGTACCTTAGAACAAGCTCCTCCCTCTCCTGCAGCCTCAGTGTCCTCATCTGTTAGGGCCTGAGCTCTTCATTTGTAGTTCCTTCCAGCTTTCAGGTTCTGGGGTCCTGTGAGTCCAGTGCTCCCCTCCCTAATGCTTCTGAGGGCAGGCACAGGATGACGGAAGAGTTGGCTCTAGAGGCAGACAGACCTGTACTTGCTCTAGCCTTTGCCACTTAGTAGCCACGTGACCTGGGTGAGTTACTTAGCTTTGAGGGGCATTGTTGTCTGCATTTGAAAACAGGCAATAATTTTTGGTGGTTGTTGGGGGTCAAATCCAATCAGGGTGGCTGTGCCTGGAATAACAATGATCACAACTGGATTCCAGGTTTGATGAACAGAGCGTAAGAAGCTCCACTAGGCACTGCTGGCAATCCCGGCAAACTGGAGGTGACCAGCCTGGTGGTCCATGAGCTAGCTCTGTGACAAGCTGGGAGAGACAGTGCTCTTGGTTGGGGACACGTGGTACTGAGCAGGGCTGGGAAGCTGGACTCTCTGTACTGGACTTGGGGGGAGAGGGTGATGCGGAGATGTACGTGTGTTGGGGTAGGGTCTTGAGGTGTGTGACTCGCACTTACTCAAATGGGTCACTGGGGTCTGCTTTCTGCAGTTCTGGTGGGATCGGGATCCGCTTGTAGTACATCTCCCAGTCAAAGGCGCCCCGCATGGCATCCCCCGCCTGTGTCTCGTACCGAAAGTCATCGTGGTCAATCACGTCGATCATGGGGCACACTATGGTCTTGCGGTTCCGAGCGATGCGGTCTGAAGAAGCCAAGAGATGCCTGTTAGGTGAGGCAGGATGCGGGAGCGGCTAAGTGCACCATGCTATTTGCAGCTCACCTGCATTTTTAACATTGTACCGGGGTGATTTCTCTGAACACTTGAGTCTGAGAACTAGTGAACAGGAAGGAGAATGCAAGCTTTGACCAAAAGGGACCAAGGCCCCATCCCAGTCCTCCTCCCTCAGTAGGTCTCTGAGGCAGCTACAAAAATAATGTCTCCAAACCCCAGTATTCTCCCTCTAAGAAACAGGACTGGAAGAGGCTCTGCCTTATGGGTTGTAATAAGGACTGGAGACCACAATGTTTGAGAGCGCTCAGCACAGGTGCCTATTAATGATCGGCACCGTGTGGGAAGAGATTGAGTTCCTTCTGCCAGGGCCTGTGGTCTAGCTGGCCAGGCTCTGCATTCCAAACCTTGAACTTGACTCAGGGTCCCAAACAAGCACCCAGCATTTGCCCCCTGATAGCTCACTGGCACCCTGGGCTGCAGTCCATGAACAAATGACTCTCCTTTTGAGAGTTCAGTTCAATTTTTCTCTGTGGACGTGGGAATGGACTGTCCTATGGACTGTCTCATAGGCCTATGAGAAGCTCATCCTATCAAATTCATTCTCTGCCTAACCTACCAACAGAATTCCAGCTTTGGTTTGGAATTTCTTCCTCCTACCACCAAGAAGCTCTGACTGCTGCCAGGGGTGCCAGTGAGCTGTTGGGGCAGACGGCTCACCATGGGGGATCGAGTGGGCTGTGCTGAGGTGCCTGGCTGCTCTGGGCCCGCAGTTAAGTTCCAGACTTGGAGTGGGGAGCCTGGTAGGGCCAGAACAGGCCAGCAGCAGCCAGGGGCCCAAGCATCATCAAGCTATGGCACAACCGTCTTTTAGGAAAGGAATCAGCATTTCTGTCTTTTTCTTTTTTCTTTTTTTCCAGTTTTTGGCCAGACTGATTGAACTCGCCACCTCCGGCATATGGGGCTGGCGCCTTACTCCTTTGAGCCACAGGCACTGCCCTCATTTCTGCCTTTTTCTAATCTGCAAGAGATGGTCCATAGGTGGGTCATGAGATTGTGTGTGTGTGTTTTTGTATTTGTGTATAATGAACCAGAAGAGAATACTAAATATCAGGCTGCATTCTAGGTAATAAAAGATACTGTGACCAGAGATGCTTTTTCAGGAAACATGTTTCAGTCACACTGCATGCATTTGTGTACTGGACTGAGATGTCCAATGTATTCTTACTGTGGCACGTGGCTTTAAAAGTTTGAGAAATGTTGTTTTCAGCAGTATACTCCCAAGTGCAGGCTGAGGGCCACCAGTGCCAGATGCACCCAGGGTGTGTTTAAACACTCCCGTGCCCACCTCTAGCCCAGGCCTACTGAGCTAAACTCTCTGCAGTTGGCTTGGATTTACCTTGTGGATAGGCTCCCTGGAGGTTCTCAACAAAGACTAAGAATCTCCTCCAGAGAAAGACCTAGAGAAGGTTCTCCACTCCTAATCATTCATGGCCATTCAGGGAATTTTGCTTCCAAAGAAATACTTATAGGAACCCAAGTGGTGGGGGGGAGAATACGGGAAAGGGGCAGAGGGAGATTGGCAAACTCTCACCCAATGTGCACAATGCACGGGTATACAGCTTACTCCCTGGATGATGGGCTCGACTACAACTGAACTTTACCTTAGAAACGCAAACAGTGTAACCTAATCATTTGTACCCTCATATTAATCTAGGGGGAAAAAAAAGCTGAGGCCACAGTGCTCTTTTGGCTGTTAGTTGACATGTGGGGCTTACCAGGTCAAGGCAGACTCAGAAGACAGTGCTGTGCTCACTTGGGAATAGAATGCCCGAGTTCAAATCCTGACATTGCCACCTGTTAGCCGTATAACCTTGGATAAGATCGTCTGGTGTCTCTGAGCCGTGGTTTCCTCGTCACAAATGGAGGAAGACAGCATCTATCTCAAGGGGGCTCTGTGAGGCCATGGGATGTCAGAGCCAAGATGCTTAGTGCAGCCTTGGAGCGTGACCGGCACTCAGCCGCCATTCTCTGTGTCAGGATTACTGAAGGAAGCTCAGGAGCAGGAGTTGCAAGGCTGAGCAATCTCCTTCGTTCTCTTTGTCTGTCAGTTTTCTCATTTGCCAAATGTGGATAATAATGCCTGGCCTGCCTGCTTTACCACGTGATGCCCCAATTCAAATGTTAATGTGGCCTACAACGCTAAGGGACTAATAGAGCTATGATGACGACGACGATGATGATGATGATGATGAGGGAAATGATGTCGATGGTGGCTTTCCACTGGGGGGCTGTGTCCCTCTCAGGCTCAGAGATGTGTGCTCTCCAAAGGAGGCAGAGTGAGCTATGCAGGGAGGTGTAAATGGCTTCATAGACAAAAGCCATGATGCGCTCTCTCAGCTGCCGATATTAGCAGGGATAGACTTTTAAATCTACACCACTGCTTCGCATTTCTATTGGAAAAGGAAGAAAAAATAAACCTTGGGACGTTTCTTCCATGTACGTCTGCAGATTATGAAAATTGCCCTCATATATTTCCATAGAAACAGAGTTAAGGGCTATTTAGACCATGAGCTCAGCTTCAGGCCCCACCACTTCATTCTCTTTATGAGTTGCTGAATGACCCTACAAATGGGTTGTTCTTCCAGCACATAAATTAGCCGATTTATGGTGAGGCTTTTTTCTTTTCTTTTTCTCTTTCGGTAGTGAGAGGCAGATGCAGAATATCAGTTTACCAGAAATTCTGGGTTATATCCTTTTCCTAACCCACTGAAATCCTAGACCCTTGGAGTTAGAAGCACATAATCTAATACAGTTTCTTGCTGATCTGTGTTACAGACTTGTGGGATTACCCTGGTAACAGTAGGTTTTGCTTTCTGTCCTCACTCTGGAATGGTGGCGTCCCTAACCAGTGCTCCTCAAAGTGTGGTCCCTGGATCAGCAGCACTGGCGTTGCCCGAGAGCTGGTTCAAAATGCAACTTGTCCAGGGGCCTCCTGGATCAGAAACTCGGGCAGGGAGGGAGCATTCTTGTGTTGTAAGACATCTTTCCAGCAGGGATTCTGATGTACACTCAAGTTTGCCCTAAACTTCAGTCCTCTTTGCTCCTGAAGCTTTCTGTGATGGAGAGCTTACCCAGCCATTCTCGAGGCATTTATTTTTCTCTCCAGAGTGATAACTCTTCCCCAGTCTGCCTCCAGCCCCAGCTCTGACTCCTGGTCTCAGTGGGACATTTCCTTACCAATGTTAGCACCAGCCCGCTGCCTTCGTCAAAACTCAACTACTCGAAATTTGGGCCTCATTCCTTAGCAAGCTTGCAGGTGCCTCATGCCCAGCCTCTGATCCTCACATCTCCTTCCTGTCACAGACCATCATAGATGGCTCTTGGATCTTGCTACCCTCTGCTGATAGCCCTTCCCTGATATCTGTCAGCAGCTCTTGTCCAAGAGGAAGTGAGTTTAGGCAGGCAGCGTGAAACCATGGGAGAGAACAGACTTCAGAGCCTGACAGATGGTGACTCTGAACTTGGAATAAGCAAGTCACTCAGAATCTCTGAACCTCAGTTTCTTTTACTACAAAAAGGGGATACTTTTGACCTTGCATGGTGAAGAATAACAATAATGCTTATAACCTGCCTGGCTCACAGAAGCAGTGCAGTGAGTGGTAACTACTTCAAGCTGATGTGATGCCCCCCTCCCCCACAGTTTAGCTTTTAACTTGAAGTAATCTTAGGGAAACAGTCATGTCCTTAGCCACTACAGTGCCGTGTGACTTTGGCAAATCACCTCTCCCCTCTGGGTCTTCCTTCTCTGTGAATGAAAGGACAGGACTGGTGGATTTTCAGTGTGTCTTTGAGCACACCTGGACCTCCAAATCCCTTGTGGCACCTGGTATTGTGCTGGGTATATATCAAGCTGGCAAGGGAACGCTTGTGAGGGATTCCCTGCAAAAGACTGGGGCTGGTGGTGGCTGGCTCCTTCCAGGCCACCTCCCTTAAAGTGAGAGAGAACCCTTACCAAGCAAGGGTGGAAGCCAGTTGACATTGGCTTCACAGTGTGAATCCAAGAATGTGATGACATCCCCAGTGGCCACTGAGGCCCCCAGCATTCGAGTCCTGATCAGCCCTTCCCGTTTCTTGGTTCGGAGAATCCTCACGCTGGGGAAAAGGGCCATGTAGGCTTCAAGGGGCTTCTTCAGGTGCTCTGTGAGGGACACAGGAGAGGGCAGATGGATTAGAAGAGTTGCTTAGTAATCCTTCTTCTGACTCCTCCCTTACACGCGCGCTGCACTTCCCAGTCTAGACACAACTGTGCACTGCCTCATTGGACTTTTCAAATAGGACCAAGAGGGGCAGGGATCACCACCTGGGTACTACAGATGGGGAAATCAAGGCCCAAAGAGGTCCAGTGATAGTGCCCAGACCTGGAGCACAGAGAGGTCTTCTGTCTAAGGGTACGGGCATTTGTGGATTACACCTGGAAGGGACCCGTTCCTTTACTCCCTGGTAATAATATCTTAATTTTTCTTGGGGACACTGCCCCTCCCTTCTTAGTCCATCAGGCTTGGGCGGGGCTGACCCATGTTCTGGTTCCAGCAGAGGAATGTGTGCTGTGGGCCCAGCCCATCAGGGCATTCCAGTCCCTTGGCCACAGGGATTGGCCCACGGCCATGTCACCTGACCTGCTCCACATAATGAGTCCTGAGAATATTTATTTTACTAGACTTGCTAAGTTGATTGGCTGTAAGTCTAGAGCTGCTGGTGACATCTTTGGCAAAGCGAGGTGATGAGAGATGGTAAGGAGAATCTGCTGAAAATGAAGCCAGCGTATAAAAGTGAAAAGAGACAGAGACATCGTCTTGACAGCATTTTGGTTCCCCAGAGCCCCCTGCACCTGACGCAGGTAGACTCCTTGATATTCTCATTACACATGAGGACAAAGTCCTCTCCTTGTTGGTTCTAATGTGGGTTGGATGTCTACCCTATGCCCAGCAAAGTTGTTTTGAGTAAATACCAAAGCCTTGTTCTGCAAAAGTCCCAACTTTACCATTGGTGTCTGTTGATTTTACTCAGAGTTAGGTTCCTTTATGAAAACTCCAGAATAGGGTGATGCCTGTGGCTCAGAGGAGAAGGGTGCCAGCCCCATACACTGGAGGTGGAGGGTTCAAACCCAGCCCTGGCCAAAAAAATAAAATAAAATAAAACAAAAACACCAGAACAGCTTCAAAAGAAACCGATAGCTTACATACTACTTAATGATGAAATATTGAATGTTTGTCTCCTATGATCAGGAGAAAGGCTGTACACTTTCACAACTTCTATTCAATATTGTACTAGAATTGCTAGCCAGTGTAATTCATAAGAAAAAAAAAGGGATTGAAATTGGACATACAATTAGTAAATGATGGGGTCTGCTGCGGAAATGTGATGGTTTCCCCCTTCTGGTTGTAGCTCCCCAGCCTCTGAAAATCATATGCTACCATCATGACTTTGTTACATCTGCCTTCTTTACTATAATTTGCTTAGTTTTTATGTTGTCTTTAATCAACTCGCTTTGGTAAATTCAATTTATTTTATTTTATTTTTAAGACAGAGCCTCAAGCTGTCCCCCTGGGTACAGAGCCGTGGCATCACAACTCACAGCAACCTCCTACTCCTGGGTTCAAGGGAGTCTCCTGCCTCCGCCTCCCAAGTAGCTGGGACCACAAGCACCCGCCACAACGCCTGGCTATTTTTTTTTGGTTGCAGCCATCATTGTTGTTTGGCGGGCCCAGGCTGGATTCGAACCCGCCACCTTAGTTGTATGTGGCCGGCGCCTTAACCACTTGAGCCATAGGCGACGAGCCAATTCATTTTAAAAGGAAATCTTAAAGACCTACTACAAATGGACAGCTGGTATCATTTATAATGAAAAACTAATAAATAAAAATACTCAACAAATAAAAACAAAACAAGGTGCTTAGATTTTTGTCAGATCCCCCTGCCTCCCTACGACTGGGAGCTTAAAGTGTGCTCTCTTTTGGTCAAGAAGGGAGCTATGGAAAACCAGCTGAGGTGCTCCATTTAGACAATCAGGACAAAAGGAGGAGAACTGAAAAGGCAAGGGCCTCTCTACAGGATCCAGTGTCACTTAATGCAAAGTCTCCAAGGCACCTGGAATCAGTTTGGGTGCCACTTACATCTCTTTTGTGTTGGCACACTCAGGGAAACACCGTTCTCATCACTTTGATTCGCGTCACCAGAAACTTAACTGGAGATGAAGTGTGTTTTGTGTTGTGTTGCCTGGCACCTTGTCGGTTGGAGAAATTAAAATACAGAGAAAAGATGATCTACGCACCTACAAGCAGGGGCTACAAGTCTAAAACTTCAGGTCTCTTCCTGCTCATGCACAAAGATTAATATGGCTTCTCTCACCCTTTCCCACTTCTCTTTGGAACAGTGACTCTGGAGAAAGCAGAAATCAATTTGCCCTAATTGTGGGCCTAAATCTTTCCGAAAGAGACTTCCTTGGGCAAAAAGACAAGATAGCAAGAGGTATGATCGTGCTTCAGATATGCTGCTATTCAGGCAGGAATGATATCTTAAAAAAAAAAAAAATCCATAGTCATTGTCTGTGACTACCACTTCTTCTTGGCTGGGTTCAACTGGTAGGTCATTACAGCGAGAACGAGATAATCTCCTATACCACACGCCACTACTCCCATCAGAGGAGAAATATCACCCCCGTTCGGCTCTAATCATTGAGGGCCCTGCTCGGCCAGAGCCCCATCACTAAATCACCCTAAACGCAGATGGCTGTAGTCATTACAGATTGACCAATTAAGGCCTTTTGACAGCTTGTGGTAAAGTTGGAGCAATTATTTAGGGGCAATTATGCTCCTCCTGTCCTTATTAGATTGTGCGTTTACACAAAATCAGGACAGTCATTTTTTCTTTTTTGGAGACAGAGTCTCACTCTGTTGCCCAGGTTAGAGTGCTGCGAAATCAGCCTAGCTCAACCTCAAACTCTAGGGCTAAGACAATCCTCCTGCTTCAGCCCCCTAAATAGCTGCAACTACAGGTGTGTGCCACAAGGCTTAGCTAATTTTTCTATTTTTAGTAGAGACAGAGTGTTAGGCTTATAGGTGTGAGCCGCCGTGCCTGCCTAGGACAGTCATCTCATTTTACGACACTGTCTTCTTGGATAAGGACATTCCAAGAAGTCACAAAATTTTGGAGCTGGAAGGGACTGCAAATGAAGATGAGGATGGTTATGATGGTAATTACAGGAACAATCAGTGAGCCCCTGCTTTCACACGGATCTCCCTATTTCCTACATACCCGACACCTATAACCACAGGACAAACCAGGAATGATGGCTTCATCTTATAGAAGATAACGCTCAGCCTGAGTGTAAGGCTCAGAGTGGGTGACGTTACTTGCCCAGGGAACAGCGTTTACAGATGATAAAGCTGAGGTCTGAGACCCGCCCTACCTTACTGCATAACAAAAAGCAGGGCCTTCCTACCACACGCACCACCCCCCATCTCTGCCTCACTTTAGTCAGTTCCTTCATTTTACCCAGAGTGGAGGAGGGTGAGCCAGAGAAGTTAAACACCTTACCTAGAATTTTACAGTGAGGCTACAACATGGCAGGGCTATAAGTCAGGGATTTTTCCAGCCTAGGATTTTCCCCAGCTTCGTAAGTCCTAAGGCAGGGATGGCAAACTAACTTCTTTCAAGTGCCTATCCTGACGGTTGGAATGTATACTGAAAGCTGTGTTAAGAAAGACTCTGCGGGGGCAGCGCCTGTGGGTCAAAGGAGTGGGGCACCAGTCCCATATGCCGGAAGTGGCAGGTTCAAACCCAGCCCTGGCCAAAAACTGCAAAACAAAAAAAGAAAGAAAGATTCTGAGGCTCTACCCTGGCTTAGCATGAAAGAGCCAGGACGAGGAAGGGATGTCTCAGCATCTGATGTGGCAGGGAGGCTGCAGCCCTATTGCCACGTACTCGTCATCACTAATCCCAGGGCTGCCTGATGGTAAAACAAAACAGAGTTGGCTTTGCCCTTATTAGACCTAATTTAGTGATGAGTCAGAGCCATCCAACAGGGCTTGAGGTTCATTCTGGAGGAGGCGAGTCCCCACCATGGTAAGGCATCGAGCAGGTGTTAGATGAGCACTTATCAGGGAGCTGACAGATGGAGGCTGTGGCACAAGCACCTGGTGCCCCACCCATACCCACTTGGCGTTTGTTCTCTCCCCATGGCTGACTGCCTGCCTGTCTTCCACCTGCCAGCATCTGCCACTCTGCAATGTTGGTGGAGAACCACCCCACCCAGGACATGTGCCCTGTGCTGGCTCCAGAACTCCCACTGGGACGGAGCACAGGTGCTTGCAGCGGTGCCATCATGGGCACTCTTCCTGGCTGCCTTTTCTTCCTGTTCTCACTTCCCCACTTTCTGGTCTGTCTGACATCTCCTCCCAAATGAACTATTTGCACTTAAATCCTACCTCAGGATCTGCTCCAAGAAACCCAAACTCAGACAGGTTCCAAGCAGGCATGACTCAAAAGACCTCCAAAGCTCAGTGTGTGATTCTCTGAAGTTCATGGTGGCAACTCCAGCTCAGCAACACACAGTTCTTTGGCACCCAGTTTCTAGAAATAATGGCTAACACTTGTTTGGTACTTATCCTTTCTTCACTCTCAGGGGCTTTACACCCATTTTCTCATTTTTTTTTTTTTTTGTAGTTTTTGGCCGGGGCTGGGTTTGAACTCTCCACCTCTGGCATATGGGGCCAGCGCCCTACCCCTTTGAGCCACAGGCACTGCTCCTCATTTAATTTTTTTAAAATTAAAGAATCACTTCAAGTATATTTTTAAAAGTAGAATAGGATAATAACCTCCCTAGCATGGACCCATCACTGAGTTTCAGAAATGATCACCCCCAGGTCAATTTCATTTTATCTCTGCTGCTTCCCATGGGATGATTATGAAGCTAATGGGACTGTACTTACTACCATCACGCTTTAAGAGGAGAAAAACCCCAGGAGTAACGTTAAGAGGATGCTGCAACTTCAACTATTATAATTCTAGTTTCTCTCCCAAGACTACTCCCAAGTTATCTCAATGTTGGGCACATGGTATCCTCTCAGGAAATACTCGATGATCCCACTGGACTCCTCCCACAGCCAGTACAAGGATGGGGCAGGTATCACCACTTCC